TGATTTATGTGAGAGGGTGATGGAGAGAGAGGCAACACACTGAGCTGCTGACATCACTCAGTCAAGGCAGGGTGTGTGTGTGTGTGTGTGTACTGGTGTAGCTATACTCATGGGGACCTTGAGGGAAAGACCTTTTATCTTGGGGACACTCTGTCCTTTGGCAGGTCTCTGTTGAGTGTGGGAGGGGGGGTTGCTGTGATGTTCAATATTTAGTTTGGATAAAGCGTTGTTTCCCACAGACTGGGTCACGACCCTCAGGTGGGTCGCAAGAGTTTTTTTTTTTTTTTGGGTCGTCTTGCATCATGTTTCCCAGGTGTTTACAAATAATATCTGTTGACTTGGGTCGTGAAGGTTTGTGACTTTTAAAATATTGTTCCCCAGAAAGAAAAAAAATCTCAGAATTGTGGGAAAGCTAACGCTATCCATCAATAACTCACCGCTGCTTATATCATTTTTGATGATTTGCTTAAATTTCTGGCTTCAAACACTCAACATGTTCCAACATAAAGGGGCAGCAGTGGTCCAGTGGTAGGAGTTTCACCTGCCATGTAATAGGTTGTTGGTTTAAATCCCCAGCCCGCCCTGGTAAAACACCGTGAAGGTCTGTATCAGGGAAGGCATCTGATGTCAAAACACTTTTAAATCCTTATCTGATGAAGGGAAACGGTGGAAGTGAAACGACTCGGAGCCTTGACTTTAATCTGAAACCAGTGAGGAGAGAAATGTGGAGGAAAAAAAAAAAGACAACATTCAAAGTAAAAACCTCAGCGTTTCCACTAAGTCAATGAAAATGTCTTCTATTAGGTGACGCAGAATTCAACTTTCCATCCACTTATTGTTGCCTTTTCCATCAAATCTGCGTAAACAGTGAAGTGGGACGAAATGAAGACGGATTAAAAACTGGCCTAAGAAAATCCAGTCAAATCAGAGCTGAATTAGTCATGGAAGTGGAAAGTTAAAATAAGGGGCGGAGGTCAATCCAAGGTACGTTTGTCGATTCTGAAGCGGGACCTGGAGAAAAACCCGGTGATCGTCTCCTGACTCTTGATGACAGCGTCGTCTCTTTGTCCATCAGGTCATTTCCTGAACCTGGTCTTTACGGCATCACATCAGGGACCTGTGAACAGAGTCGCTGTTGCACTTCGGAAAATTATCCACACACACACGCACACACACACACACACACACCTGTGTGTGCAGACTGATGGTGATGATAAGATCCCAACACACCCACAAATACACAGATGTCCTTGAGATAACATGTATTTGTGAGCATATGTGTGTGTGTGTGTATACGTGTGTGTGGGTGTGTTCAGCTGAGTGTGGACGTCCATACAGTGTGTCCATATGTCTCACACATCTGTAATGGACACACACTGAGTGCCAGGTGGGCGGCGGCGCTGGTTTTTAGGACGATGTGTTTTCAATCATCACACGTCACATCACACATGAGCGCAAAGAAAA